AGAAGCGATGAGATCGTCGATAGCCGACGGCCACGAGAAGGGCAACGGCTTTATTGTGAGAATTGTTCTCATATTGATCTTCTTCGTGGGCTGAGTCGTCAATATAGTCATGCACTCCAATAATGTAGAGATCGTTAATCTGCTATTTGTTTGAATATATGTGGGAGTGTTTGGCGAACCCATAGGATGTTGAGTAATCAACACTTGACGGGGACCGGGAGTCCTGTATCCCGTATTTGGAGCGGGAGTTCTATAGCCGACATTTGGAGTCAAAGTGCGGTAACCAGTATTGGCCGCTGGGCTTCGAAAGCCCGTATTGGGAGTGCGGGAAACGGCGGGAGACCTAAAGGCCGTCGGCTGCGGAGCGGGCGTGCGGTACGCTGTGGGCGGTCGACCGGCTCTATATATTGGTTGCATTGGCGCACGGATTCTCTGCGGTCTAACAACACCGATCTGCGGTCGACCCACTGAATAGGTGTTTCGCACCTGAGGTATGAACTGAGGTCTCGACTGATTGAACAATTGAATGGTTTGATTGGTATGCGTTGTGATGTAGTTCTGGGTATTGGCTGAATAGATAGTGGAGGCGGGTATGAGAAAAGTGGGCTGATTGGAGCCCTGGCCCGGCGTTAGGATCACTTGCATTCCGTTCTGCAAAAGACTGGTTCCCATTAGATTGGAGGCCATCGGCGCTATGATTAACGGCTGTGTCGTTCCCATCGATGTCGACGGCACTAATGTTATGGGATGTGAGGTAACCATTGGACTCTGCGCTGGACTTTGTTGTCGGTACTGATACTGATTCGGAGCTCGAGGTGTGTTATGTCTTATTCCGACGGATGGAATGGGATTACGTATGGATTGACTCGTTTGTACGTTTTGTTTGCTTCGAGGCATTCGCACCACCGCTAAGGGCTTTGGTGTTGTGGTCAACACTCGTGATGTTTCGCTGACCACAACTGTCACCGAACCCAACGGTTCCGTCACTTCTGATTCGCGCAAATATTTCACATTTTTGGTGGAAACCACAGACGCCTTGTAGGCGTTGAACTCCTTCTTCGAGGCCACCGATCGGTTCCATTGATTAAAATTCAAGATATCTTCTTCGCACTCACAATAGACACCGTCGGTGTAGTCGTCGTCGAAGTTCTCGCAGTCCATCTCAAGACTTCCGATTACGGACTCCAAGTGTCCGTCAATTGGTTTCTTATTTTTCGGTATAATTTTCTTCTGCGGAGTGGACTTAGGAGTGGTCGCCGCCGACCCGTTCACCGTCTCTTCAACCACTTCTACGTCACTATCCTTTTCAGTCGATGTCTTCTCCTTCTCGTCGACATCGGGTCCGCAAAACAACTCTAAGTCCAAGTTATTGACCGTCTCTTCGGACGTCAATTTGAGATTCAAATCCTCTTCGAGCACATCATAAGTGCCGACAATCTCCTCGACGTCTCCGTCGACAACCGGCCAAACGATGGGTTCGTTTGCGTGTAATTTTGTGACAACGGGTTTCTTAAAAGACTGACCGCTCGGTGTCTGAGGGATGAGTCGACTCGAGTTCTCGGTTTCGATGCGAACCATCGGCTGTGCGTTGACTCGCGATTGTTGTTGCGCTTGACTTCGGGTCGCTTTCACGGCATTCACCGCATTATTGCTGTTACTGTACGTCAAGGGATTGATCACAAACTGATTCACCCGAATGTTGGCTCCCGCGGGACCGCCGAACACAATGGGAGATCTGACACTTCGACCACTGCTTGTGCTGAATGTGATCACCTGTGGCTGCGCTAAGTGTTGCAACTTCTTGGACGCGGGGCCCGGCCTTTGGGCGGGATATACAGCGGTGTTGTTGTGGTTGTTGTTCACATGGGATGTGTTGGCGGCGGTGTTGGCGGAAGTGGTGACGGCCTGTCTGTGTTCAACGATAATGATGTCATCGTCGGTGGGGTTGTCGTCCACTTCGAGTAACTGCCAGTTCTTCTGTGCGGCCAAAGCGGCTGCCCTTCGCTTTCGCGGCGGTTCCTCCAGAAGTTGGGCCAACTCTCGATCGCTGGCTGTGTTGGCCATCATTGGGGTTGTCATCGGTTCTAATGAGTGGACACGACTCACACTACCGGCGATTGGATGCAAATGTTGGACACATTGTTATCAATCAAAACAATAGACTTTTGTTTCATTCAAAAGCGAATCAAAAGATTTTCATAAAATCTGTGTTCAAATCGATTACACATTAATAGAGGTATCGATAAAACAGAAATGGCTGTCAGTATTGGGTGTGTCTTAATGCCTGTGGAGGCGGGGCTCAGGCTATAAACCCACGCTTTCTATTGGCTGTTCCCATAGTTTCTGTTCGTTATGTTCTTATTTCGTGATATTGTAAT